AAGGTTTCTCCGTTCCAGCGTCTTTTCCCCGCACGCTTTCGCATGCAATATAGACACTCAGTTAGCAAGTAACATTATGAAGTAGTTATGCGCTAAGAATCACTAAAGCTACCAAATGTTCGTCTCTATATCAGTTTAATTTATAATAACTAGTCTAAGTAGTCTATGGGAGAAATGCATCGGTGCCTGGTGTGTGACTGCATATCTTCATTTGCTTATCACATCCATAGATTCTGCCTTTATTTACTAATCGTACATTTATTCATCATCTCTGCCACCAGTTAAGTTGCAGGTGATGGCGCCAGCATCGGCTGCCTGCTGAACTAATTATTCCCCTGACCGTTGTAAAAATTTTGCTAAAAGCAGAAATTTTATAAAAATTATAAGATGCTCAATATGATTACAACAAAGGAGTGCTAAATTTGCTTTGATTTCATTAAATTCTGTAATTTCTCACAACGATATGACTGCCTCTGAGTTCAAGTCTACTGGATTTTGTTGATGTGAAATAAATAGGTTACTACAGTTTTTCCCAAACACTTCCCCATTACAAAATCTGACGGTTTACCGTAAAAGTAGGTTTTATAATAATCCTGCGCCTTTTATAATCCCACCACCTCTTCCAATTTTCTTATTTTTCCTTCTCGGTTTTTTTTAAGTTGTAAGACCGCAAGCGCAGCTATTGACCAGATCCAGTTGTGGTGCTGAGAGAGAATATATGCGACTTGACTGGCCGAAGCACTCCAATTTTAGAAATTTCTCCTTTAATGATACTTATTCCGAACTGCTCGCTCTCCCCCTCATTCTTAACTTATCGCCTGCAAATTTTAACTCCTTGCTTTATCGCCCTTTAAATGTTCCAGTAAGTCGTAGAAAATACTGCGCCGCCATCTGTCAGGTTAGGACCGCAAGATGCTGACCACTGTCGGCCAGATCAGGACGTGGCATAGTTAATTTGGCTAGATAATAGCACATAACCGAACAGTAGTGCTAAAACGAGGAAATAATTCACTTGAAGGCAGCATTTTGTATTTCAAAGCACTCTTAGAAATGCGAATTTCAGATCCGAATTGAATGGAATTACGTGGCGATGGTAATTGACCGTGTGCTACTCTATGCATTCTTTGCAATCACAGCTGGTGGAACGTTCGGTGTGTTGCTTTCAGCGCCTAACGTCTTCGAACATATTAATCAAACAGAAATTATCGAAAGGCTGAAATCGACGAGTGCCGATGACTTCACCTATCTCATGTAACGAGCAGTTGCATGTCTTTCTTTGCTGCTATGCTCTGCTGTTCCTTCACAAAAATTAAAAAATTTATTTGCTTCATCGTTGTTTCAAATCTGAAATATGCCGTTCTGCGTAACCGCAAATCTTTTACACGAAATTTGGTCTTTATTACCTAAACGAATCATAAGGTCAGCAAGACGAAAACCCAACAAGTGATGAAAGATCAGGCTAGTTTAGCAGTCCGCGCTTTATCCCTTAGCTGCAGACGAACATTGGACACGAGCGGAAGAGGGAATCATCAGTACGCCTTCCAGCTCGCCGTATGAGAAATTAGCTTATTCTTAATAGGCAAGTGGCAGGCTAGGGAGATATTACTGAAAAATGAGAAGTGGAAGAAGTGGAGAAATAAGGGGAAGCAAGAGTCCGGTATTTAAAACCGGCATGAGAAAAAAGAACACTGAAGTAATGCTGTTTAAAGACAGCACGCATTTTTTAGTTATAAAGAAACTGAATTGTTTGACGACGATAACCAGCAGTTCAGCGCGGATGAAACGAATACTCGAAGAGAGGGATTTTCGCTAGAGATAAAATTCCTGCTGGAAATTAATTTGACAGTCTGGCATGGCCGGAGGAACTGTCCTTAGTTTTCAGTGTACAAATTCTCGAAATCCCAGAATTCAGTCACAGTGACAGCCAGACGTCCACCCATGTCAATATTTTTGGAAAATGCGTTTTTGTGATTAATGCACAGTCCAGTGGAAAAGGAGAGCTATTATCAGTACAATGCAATACCTGAAAGCAGCAACACAGGGACCAGTACAGATCACAGCACGGCTGTATTTGCCCATATCCGACCCCGCAAAAGAAAATGCAAAGAATAGCGAAACAAGCTCTCGAAATTTCCAGCTTACAGCT